TAGGGTCATAAAAGGTAGGGTACAAAGTACAGCAAACAGTGTGATGTTGACATCTCTGTTTTAGGTAAAAAAAAAAAAAAGAGGTCAAATTATAATCAAAAGGATTTTCAGGAGAAAAGAAATAAATGTGAAAAATTAAAATGTATTCAACAACCTTTCAAATTCTTAGGACTCAAAATACCAATTTTGAATATGTAGCCCAAATATGATCTGTTAATAGACTTTTCTTTCTTTGAGGAAACCACACTGTGCTCTTATGTCTTCTACTTTCTTCCTAGGCACCTCTTTTTCTCTTAACCTTTGCTCTTAAGAAATCAGGTGGTAGGCATGACGTTAAACCAATGATGAAGGAAATATACATTAAATAGACCCCACAATAGATTGGGAAACTTGCTTTTGTTCATGTTGTTGTTTTCTGTTTGGAGATGGAAATGGTCTACATGACTTTGATAAACTGAGAAACATAAGGAAAATGGGTACTGTGATGCTCTAGTTTCTCCATCACACCACCCTTTTCTGTAGCTCAGAAGTAGCCAATAGGAAGCTAGATGGTGGGTCATTCAGTAGCTCCACCAAAGAGAAAGTCACCGTTCCTATGCTTTGAGCTCCTACAACAATGCTACATAATCCTTCCCTTGCCAGTGAGTCCCTGAACAGACCAGACCAGAGCTGGTGTAGGAGGTCCTTCTTTTTATGTGTTGCTTGTATTGGTTAATGAATAACAAAACTGCTTTGGGCCCCTAATAGGGCAGAACTTAGGTAGGTGGAGAAGACAGAACTGAATGCTGGGAGGAAGAAAGCAGAGTTAGAGAGATGCCATGGATCTGTGGCTGAAAGTAGACGAGCTGAAACTTTTCTGGTGGGCCACAACCTCGTGGTGATATACAGATTGATAGAAATGGGTTAAATCAAGATGTGAGAGTTAGTCAACAAGATGCTATAGCTAATGGGCCAAGCAGTGTTTAGTTAATATGGTTTCTGTGTGATTATTTCAAGGGCTAAGCTAGCCGGGTGGCCAAGATGAACAAGCGGGCCCTTTCCCTCCAACACAGAGCATTCCAGCTTCCTACCCTGCATGAGTGCCTTGGACTCTGTGCCCTCTGTTTCCAAATCCTTATGTTGGAACTCCACTGACCAGTGAGATGCTACTTGGAGATGGGGTCTTTGGGGAGCTCTCCTGATAGGATCAATGCTCTTATAAGAAGAGACCATAGAAAGCCTTTCCCTCTCTCCCCACCATGTGGGGATGTGGTCAGGGTCAGCATCCTCACAAATAACGGACTGGACAGGCAGCTTAACCTTGGGCTTCCCATCACCCTTGGCTGTACAGAATTAAGTCTCTGGTAGACCAAATAAGCTACTTGGTTCACAGTATGTTTTGTTAAACCAACCTGAATGACAGAGACAGGGGTGTAACAAATCTAGTTTCCCTCTGTCTCTTTGAATAGGATAAAGGACATTAATGGTAAAAAAAAAAAAAAAAGTGGTGGATCCATCTGGCTTGATGTGAACCCCAAGAGTTCCTTCTATTCTTTTCTCAGAAAAGAATGGACTAAGGAAGAAAAGGGAATTATAGTAAGCATTAGTAGAAAGTGTCCATTTAGTATTATATATTATTTTCATAAGATTATTAAAGTAAATGTGTCATTCATATAAATAAAAAGAGATGTTTATTAAGCACACCAGTGGTTCGGGTGAACTAAGCACTTCTCATACAGCCGCTTGTGTCTTTCCTTCCTACGACATGAAGGCACACGTTATTGTGTCATTTGACAGTTGAAGAAATCCATCTGAGCATACACGTGAGCAGTTAAATAACTGATCCAGGGTTCCCAGGATGAATAATTGGCAGAAACTGAGTCAATGTTTATCTCAACCCAGAGCGCCATCAGACCATTGGAACTTTGTATACTCTGGTTGTATTTTTTTCAAAATCCTAAAATTTCCCCAAATGAAATGATCATTCTAAAAAGTAAAATAAAATCCACCATCTACGTTATTATAAGTTCTCTAAAAATAACGTGAGAGAGTTTAGCTTTGCTTACATGATAGTTTTATTAGAAATATTTGGAAACGGAAAGTCACCTTTTCCTTAAGGCTCCTTCCAGCGTTCAGATCCCCAAAGTATTGCCTCACACTTGCTCGTGGAAAGTATGCAGATCGGAGCACACTCTTTGGGAAGCTCCCAATAAACACCAGGTTTCATTACAGTCAATAGCATTTTTTGAAGTGAACAAACCCCTGCGCTCACACCAAGGTCCTTCAGCAGCGGATCTTCAAACACCCAGGCAGTTTGTGTCTCTGCTTTTGATTCCAATTTGCCTTTGCCCTCCGGAAGAGGTCCAGCCCCTCTGACTTGTGACCACGAAATAGCTGTCACCCAACTGATGCTTGGGGTAGGGTTGCAATGGAGTTACAAGTTACCCATTTGCAAACGGCAGTTTCCCTTATGGCGGCCCTCCCTCAGCTGTGAGCCACATCGGCCACCAGCCCTGCAGTGCAGCACATCAAAGGAGATAGGATAAACAGAAGACAATGAACATGACTGTCGTGCTTAGTGGACAGATTTAAAAAGGGTCAAGTGATGTGTTTTGCTAGTACATTAAATATTTGTTATGTCATGGCCCTACTTCCACTGAGTGCCAGCAGGTGTTCCTGCATTCCTGCGAGCTAAGCAAATTGAGGGCACAGAGACAAAAGCCCTCTGAAAAACCCTTCACTGCAGGTCTCCTGGCACAGCAGGCCCTGTGTGCTCACGGAGGCACTATCCTCATCATACGAGAAGGCCCGATCCCTGATTAGGGAGCTGCTTTAAAGGATGCTAGCCATACAAAACTGCAGGAACAACCTCCAAGCTCAGCACCACTCCACGGAACTTTCTGCAATGAGGACGGTTTTCTGTTTTTGCACTGACCAGTGGCATAGCAACTGGCTACAAATTGTCACTGGGCACTTGAAGTGTGACCAGTGCCACAGAGAATGTAAAAATTTCATTGCGTTTTTATTGATTTTTATTTAAATAGTTCCGTGTGCCTGGTCTTGTTGGCTAGTACCACACTAGGGTGACTGGGCAATCCTACTTTACCTAGGACTTGGCACATCTGAAGCCATGTCAGGCAAGTTAGACCCTTTGGGTAAGCTGTGGGACCCAAACTTATTTGTCAACTTGTTAGATGAAGAAATGCCCAGGACATTAGTGAAACACATCCCTAGACCTTCTGTGACTATTTCTCTAGGAAAGATTAGAATTTGAGGCTCTGATTGAGAAAGCAGATTAATCCCCTGATAAACTCACAAGGTATTATTGAGAGGTGGCAAAAGGTAAGTAGGGCAGGGCCTCTAGATGCTCTAGAAAGCAGGACGCTGGGGGCTTCTTTCTGGGACCTACATCCTATGCCGCTGTCCTCTCTATGTTTTCTTTTGTCTGCTGCCTTTCTGCTTAGAAATGAGGAGCCTGCCCGGCCGTGTGATTCTACCATCATGATGCTAGATTATGTGGAACCAGCAGCCACAGGCTGAAGTCTCATAAAACTGCTAGCTAAAATTAGATCTTTCTTCAAGTTTGTTATGCCATAGCAATGCCAAAGTCACACAAGCATCATCCCACTTTTAGAGACGTTTGGCACTTCTGAAAGTAGAGGTAGATGTGAGTGAGATAGGGTGTGGGGTAGAATAGAAGGGAGAGGGTGCAGAGACGGTCGTAGCCCTGACGTGTCCCGTGCAAGCAAAAGGCAAAGGGAACGTGACTCTTAGAACTGATGCGGTCTGTAAAACTCAGCGAAAAATACAAACAAAACACACTCACCAGTCAACCAAGTGCAGAACTCGACAGTAACTAACTTGAATATAGTTTTCAGCTCATTGGAGAGTAAGAGGCTATTGGTTGCTTCATTAAAATGTTATGTGTTCTTGTTAAAATGTCATGTGCCTTGTGTTCCTGATTCTAGGCCATTTCTGATTCAAGTTGTTTATTTTTAATTTTTTTAAAAATTGAATTTCATTTTCCTGCTATAGGCTTGCGCTTTCCAACAGCCCACCTAAAGCTCTCAATGAGAGCCTGAACCCTCTCAGTGGAAATGGAGCCCTTTCGGTATTTTCTTCAATTAAACCACAAATCAGTCTTAAGAGGGGGTCACATGTGACTATGTACTGGTAACACTGCAGTTTGTGTCTTGTTGTTTTCACTGATCCCAACTATCAGGCTCCTAGAGGAAGGAACAGAACTCTCTTTTCCAAACTCTCGCGATTTTGTGTCCTAGCACTACAAACATGAGATGCGTTCTGCTCCTCCTATATGTATATTGATTGATAACTATGGCCGATCCATATTTTAATAAGCCATTTTTTCCTTATTTCGGAGAACCCACTGCTTTGAAAGTGGTCCACATCACTTTGTTATCTCTTCTGAAATGCTTTGAATCAGAAGTGTTTCGGATTCATTCCAATTTAGGGACGTTACATAGACCTCACCGGCGAGGCACTTCTAACGTGACAATCTGAGAGCAGAAACTTTCTGAATACGATACCAGTGTGCTCAAAACGATGTCACCTTGTACAGCATTTCTAGTTGAAAACAATATTTGTCACCTGAATCCCAGTGGCCCCCTATACGTAGTGATGTCTCCGGCCTTTTTGAGACACTGAGGAGAGATTGATAACATTTTGTTTAAAAAAAAAATCCCTTATTGCTAGGAATTTATCGCTTGTATTGTGGGGTTCCCATGTAATCAGTCTGCATTTCTGGTCACTGGAGGGGAGTCGTGGGGACCAGAGTCACAACCACTGACTTGATCACAAGTGTAAAGTCAAGGCCGCAGGCCTGGGCTTGTTTTCTTTTCAAGGAACAGTCTCTCTGCTGACTTCCAGCTCCATATTGGCCTTGAATTAACCACCTGGTTCTCTTGCCTCAGCCTCCTTCATGCTACGATTACAGGTATGCCTCACCATGTGTGGTGGGTTTATTTTTTTTGGTTTTAACAAATTTCCCTCTGTTTTTACAGTGGTTAGCAAAATTCATCGAATTGCGCGTAAGAAGTACATGGAAATTTCGTCTTAAAATAGGACTCCCAACCCCATGCCCAGATACTCTGCCTTAATTTGTCTGAGGAAGGGTGGAGAGTCAGCCTTTGCCTGGAGACCTTGACTTCACCCCACGGAGGCTGTTCTCATATACTCAGCATTGTGGGAGAAGTAAGATCAGCTGACCACCAAAACAAGCTTGGCACTGGATAAAACAACCCAACCTTCACAACAAGAAACTTCACAGAGCACGAACTTGGTCCCAGAGCCGATGGGAACGAGTGAGGTAATTGGTGCCGAGTGTAGATTCATGTTCCCATGAAACCAAACAATGACCATTGATGTTCCTTTTCTCTCTCAAAGAAACTTGCTTTGAGTATGTTCTATCCTCAATAAACTAAATAGTCTTTTGGAAATTATCATTTAAGTCTTATACCTACAAGGAAGTATTTCTGAATTTGTACAACTGCGCTGTTGTTGCCTTTTCCATAAAGAAACACTCCGTTGATCCCAGTGTCTGTGGTGCACACCTTAAATCCCAGCACTCAGGAGGCAGAGGCCTGTGGATCTCTTAGTTTGAGGCCAGCCTGGTCTATAAAGTGAGTTTCACAACAGTCAGGGACATAGAGAGAAACCCTGCCTCAAAACACTAAAAAGACAAAGAGAGGGAAGAAGGGAGGGAGTGCGGCGGGGGGGGGGGGGGGGTAACTGGAATTGTTTCAGTTGGAAATTTTGGCTCATGGCTAATGAGACTTAGGTCAAGTGTGAATCTGGATCCCAAGACACATCTCATTACTGAAGCTCCCAACCAAGAGCACAAACACTATATGGTATCCAAATGTGCTCATTGCTTCAAGGAAAGTATTTCAGGTGAACAGGAGCTTGGTTAACTTATTTTTTTTTTTTTTTAAGCTTTTAAGGCTTAGCAATAGACTCCGCACAGCTGAATCTACTCTCCAGATCTTAAATACACCCAGGCAGACTGAATAACAAGTCCCAGGCATTCTGGACTACAGAGGGTGCCTTTGTTTTGAAACAAACAAACAGTAAAGAATCAATATTTTTTCCTTGGGTATGGACCCAAGAAATGCTGTTTCTAAAAATATGCAAAGGGGGTTTACATTAAAACGAAACTCTCCTTCTAATTTATCACCTCAGCATTAAAACTTACCTCCTGGGGCTGGAGAGACAGCTCAGAGGATAAGAGCACTGGTTGCTTCCAGAGGACCTGGGTTTGATTCCCAGCACCCACACGGCAACTCACAACTGTCTGTTACTCCAGTTCCAGGGGATCTGACACCCATGGCAAAACTCCAACATATATTTTAAATAAAGAAAGTAAAACTTCCTTCCCCAAAGGCAAACGTTGAAGCGAATATTATGAATATTCTTTACGATACTGTGCATATATATGTGAGATTAATAAAGATGCTTTAATATAGATTTTAAGCGTAAGGAGCCAGAAGAGACATGTAGAATGACGCCAGAGAGCCCGGGTGTGGGTTTCTTGAGAGAATCTCCCAGAAGCCATTTTTTAAATACTTTGTTTATTTTCACAAAGATTTGCTCATTCCTTTCCAGATAACTTGGATAATTATTGGGACAGACAATGCTGTTGTGTTGAAATCATAGCTTGCAAAATGCCACAACTCTGTTGATTCCCACAGCCAGCTTTCCTTGAGATTAACAAGACTAGTCTACAGATGCAGATGAGGACATTCTCCCTGTCCACATTCCAGCATGAACACGGTTTTTCAGAAAGTAGGACCCTGGATAGTGTACTGATGAAGCTGTATGTATGTATGAAATAGAAATAATATAGTATTTCAGGTGTATTTCCTTCATGAAAACCTAGTGTAATTTTTAAACACCCATCATCTTTATTCTTTTTGAGAAATGATCAAGAGGGGAATGATCTTTTACAAATTTAATAAGCATAATTAGTCAGCTCTTTCTCTTTGTTCATACTCATTTGTACGCTGTAGCTAATAGAGTGAGCGTGTCTGTTCTGACTGCATTCTCAGTGTCTAACACAGTACGACTGTGTGAGCTTTCTCTTCCACGTGCTGCCCGTAGTCTCTGTTATGAGGTTCCACTAATAAGGTCAGGACTTTGGGAGGCTCATTCCATGTGAACAAAGATTACTTCTTGTCTCCTTATTTCAATAATGCATATCCTCAAGTGTAAATCTCTATTTTTTTTTTCATTGAAACCTGGTACAGAATCCTGGAGATATTCTAACCCAGATCCCCAGAACACCTGTCCAGCATCCCTGCTGTCTGCTATGTATGTACCAAAAAACAAACAAACAAACAAACAAACCTAAAACCAAGGGCAGTCATCACGTCTTCACGGCGTCTCTTGCTATTGCACTTGGCTGCTCTTCCTTATCCCATGCTACCTCACTCATTCCGGGGTAACATGTACTCATGCAAACACATCCCCCCTCCCTGCTGTGCTCTGCAGGTGGTCTACCAGCTAATTTCATCCCTGGAGAGCCCAAAGAACTGTTACAGGTGTAGCAGATAGACATCATGCATGTCTATCATGATAGAGTCAATAGCAGTTTCCCATCAGATTGAGTGTGTGTATGTGTGTGTGTTTGTGTGTGTGTGTGTGTAGGGGCTGTGCAGCCTTCTTCACTCTCCCCCGTGCTCCCAGATGGATCATGTGCCACTGAAAGACTAAGCCCCGTAGCACGTCAGAGGATCTGAGATCTTGGAAATCAGGCAGCCGTGTCTGCCCTAAAGGTCTATTCGTGTTACTCTTAAGACTTTTCCCCTTGCAAAGAAGGGAATATACATCACCACTTGCATCTCTAAGCTTTGCACAGAAGAAAGATGGTGAAAGGTGTGTCTGGGGACTGGAGTTGCCACTCTGGGTGGGCGGGTCGAGCACAGCTAGTGTGAGTGTGTATGGTGGCCGGAGGCAGCGAGACACACCTAGGTACTTTGATCAGTATGGGTTAGGTCTTCCAGAGTGGTTGGTCACTCTGCAGCTGAGCCTGCCATACAAGGTATGTTTTTCCAGCGTCCTTCTCAGTCCCACAAGTCCAGTGTTAGTTGGCTAATGAGCTACTATAACTGGAAGTTGGAAAACGCTTAGGCAGAATTTCAGAAGGAGCGGTGCCCAGGCAAGTCACTGGAGACGCTTTTGAGAACAGCCTCCTGCCACCTGTGACTCTGCAGTTTTTATCTGTGGGTTGTGAGTCCCTGTCTGCCCTGGCTCTTTCTTAAAGGAACCAGAAATCACTATCTAGCTAGAGAATTGTTGCTAGATGCCCATAGCCAGTTGGGGAATCTTTGGGGATAACAAGCAAACAAGTTTCCTTATGTACTGTTTAGTCGAAGATAGGGATAGAGATGAAAAGATATTTTGCCCCGGATCTAACTTATCTAGTGGGCAGGGACACTCTCCAATACCTCTTCCCATCGTTCCCAAAATAGTTAATAGCGGTGAACCTTGTCACAGAATCTCACACTTGAACTATATTTGAGCAGACATCTGGTAGTGATCTATTGGCACATAGAAAATGTTCAGAAAAATCAAGATACAGCCCTAGGAAGCTACACAAAATTGACCTCTCTCCCCATCCACTTCGAAGTCTCACCCTCCCAGTGACCGTTCATCTGCATGGGCCGCTGAACCTCATACACAAAACTCACCTTAGCCAACTGGATCTTCCACCAAGGAAAAACGCAGAGATCCAACCTGATTTGCAGTGGCCAGGGGAATTTCCTGCCCTACCCAGATGAGCTCTCTATCTGGAAGATAAAAACTGTCCTGTGGGAGTGGGTGGTCCATTGGCCCCTCCCCTGATTTCTCTCAGCCTTCTCTGTCCTGGCCAGCAGCCAGGCAGGAAGGAGGGACACTCACCTGTGAGCTATTTCTCTTGGGACTTGGCTTCACCTTGTCAGGGTTCCTCCTGGATGGCTCTTCCTGGATTTCAGCCTCATCACTAGAGATGATGAAAAGCTAAGGCCCCCCGGAGGGGCTGGTGGTAACTCATTTTGCTAATGGAAAGGCAAAGAAAGAGACGGGAAGCTTTGGTTTGGAGAATGGCTTGGCTGCTGAGAAGCAGCCAAGGTGAGCAGGCAGCATACCTGACTGATGATGGTGGCAACTGGGACTGCCGGGAAGTGTGGGTGAGGCCACTACTTTTTTTTTTTCTAGTGAGTGGGAGTTTAGAGGCAACTCCTTCTACGGCTGGCATTGTCCTGGGCCAGCAACGGGCATGAATCGGGGGATAAAGATAGATGTGGGAGTGTATGGATACGTGCGTGCACACGTGTAGGTGTGGGCGTGCCCAAACAAATGCTACCTTTCCGTCTCTCAGCTTAGAACTGGGTGTCCTTTATTGAAACCTCTGTGTCACGGGAAGTGACAAGGGCTTTGGGATTTGTTCTCCAAAGCGGCGGGAGTTCACTGTGATTTTCCAAACCCTTTTAAAAGCGCCATCCTCCTCCTTTCTTTTCTCTCAACCCAAATCTGATTCCAGAGTCCTAAATTATGAACGAAATCAAAGCAAAGCTGCCGTGGTTGGGGTGTATGATGGCTCCGGAGACCTGAACCCTCTTCTGACCCTCCTCCTTGTGAGCAGAAAGGCTTCATGGGCACATGGAGGCACTGTAGCGCCCCAGAACAGCAGCTTACAAACCGTGGATGGGCTGGTCGAGCTGTCAGGCTGGATAGACTTGGGTTTGCATCCTGACTCTGCTGCTATGAGCAGCAAGACCTCAGGGCATTCACTGAAGTATTTGTTCCCCCATTTCACCACCTGGAAAACAGAAGTACTATCACTTATGAGGCAGGGCACCCACACAGACAGGAGAAAACACATAGAGGACATCTGGGACTTAGACGAGAATCTTCACACCATGTATGTGGTTCGTAGTTATTAGAGAAAAGTTGGGTGTGGGCTGCTTAGGAGAGACCAAGAGAGAAGTAACTGATGCAAGGAGACCTCTCATTTCAGCAGCACTTGAGGGCTTTGCTCATCACCTACCCTTTTAAAAACAAAAAAATGCTTTCCTGGGAGGTGACGGTGCATGCCTTTAACCCCAGCACTCAGGAGGCAGAGGCAGGCGGATCTCTGTGAGTTCGAAGCCAGTCTGGCCCTACAGAGTGAGTTCCAGGACAGCCAGGGCTGTTGCACAGAGGAACCCTGTGCAACCACCACTGCCCCTCAAAAAGAATGTGGGTGCTGGAGAGACAGCTCAGCAGTTAAGCACATTCTCTGTTCTTGCAGAGTTCAGATCCCTATTCCCACAGGGTGGGACCCCAGGGTGTACAGCATCCTTTTCTGGCCTCCATGGATACCAGACAAATGGGCAGTAGAAGCAAAGCATTGATCTACACAAATAAATAAATAAAAATGAATGAATGAATCTTTGTTTTTTTTTTTAAATCCCATG